AAAATACCAACAGAGCTTCTAACCCTTACCCACTATATCCTAAACTAAAAAAAATGTTTGGGCTTTAGAGATACTTTAAAGTGTATCTAAAGCCAAACCCTTTCCAAGTTTTGAATGGTGTGAGGAAAGGTTACACTCTTTGTCAGGTTTTAAATGCTGTCTGTGACTCTGCTGGAGACATTTACCCCATAGAGTGAATGGAAATCCCCCCATTCTCTACCCCCTTACAAAAGAAAAAAAAAACAGTATTGCCTTTAGATACATTTTTACAGAATGTTCCCATTTGACATCTGCATGACTTCTCTTGTTACAAGATACAGAATACCCCCAGGAAGAGCATGCAGGGATGCTGATGCATAGCCAGTTCTGACAGTGTTGAGAAACTATGTCCAGCTTAATAGGACTTCTCTCCTCAGCTTAAACTCAATTCCCTCTATTTAATAATTGTCTTTGTATCAGAATATGGAGAGGTATACAGACTAGGTCATGGAGTCCAGGGTTGTCCACCTTGTGCCGCTCCGTCCCCGCACTGTAGTCTTGACTCCTCTTTGTCTCCCTGGCATACTCCCATGTGCCAGACGTGCTGTAGGCTTCTGCCATTTATTTTGGACCTTACCAAGACCTTCAGCATGTCTGCGCATGCACATACCTCCTTGCATGTGTGCAGACATGCGGCAGATTATTGCTAGGTAATTGCAAGCTGGCAGAAAACAGCTTAAAGCATGTCTAACCATTAAAAATAATGAATAAAAATCAGCCTGTGATTTAAAGTTTGTAAAAAAAAAAAACAGTATGTAAACCCAACACTTCATATTCCTGATATGTGCCTGAGATCCTGTTCTCTTTGTATTGCTTCCTCTGTGTGAAATCCCTGCCAGTCCCTCTGCTTTCCTATAAAAGACTGACCACAACAGGCATGAGATCACAGCACAATCAGTTCTCTAGCTGGGCTGGAAACTCGGTGTGCTTTCCTCCAATGATCAGATTTCTGCTGACATGCCCCCCTCTGCCCAGCCATTCACTAGGAAATTCAGTGTCCTGCTGTTTCTCCTCCCCCAGCTCTGTTTTCAGCTGCATACATAGCTTAGAGGGTTTGTGCTCACTTATGAAACAGGGAAAAAAGGTGTTTAAAATGTTTTTTTTTATGTGCACACAAATATTTTGCCTTTAATTTCTATTTTAAACTGAATGGGTTGTTATCTAAGGTGAAGGTTTACATCTACTTTAACCACTTGCCTACAGGACACTTCTACCCCCTTCCTGCCCAGGCCAATTTCCAGCTTTCAGCGCTGTCGCACTTTGAATGAAAATTGTGCGGTCATGCAACATTGTACCCATATGAAATTTTTATCATTTTTTTTGTGACAGAGCTTTATTTTTGTGGTATTTAATCAACTCTTGGTTTTTTATTTTTCTTAAACAAACCAAAAACAACTGAAAATTTTGAAAAACAAAATGTTTTTTCTTAGTTTTTGTTATAAAATTTTGTAAATAAGTGATTTTTCTCCTTCACTGATATGCGCTAATGAGGCTGCACTGATGGACACTGATAGGTGGCACTGATGAGGAGGCACTGGTAGGTGGCACTGATGGGCACTGACAGGCATCACTGATGGGCACTGAAAGGCAGCGATATATGGCACTGAGGCAGCACTTATAGGCAGCACTGATAGGCTGATATTGACTGGCACGAGGCATTGACACACGGCACTGATGGACACTGACAAGGTGGCGCTACTGGGGCTACACTGATCATCAGGGCACACTGTGTACAGTGTAAATGTCTCCTCCGCAGAAAGCCGATTACCGTCTCTCCTCTCCTCTGTCAGCGTGACAGCTTGAGAGGAGAGAAATGCCAATAACTGGCATTTCCGTTTACATCTGATCAGCTATTATTGGACACAGCTGATCACATGACCGAGCCGACATCTTCGGCTCTTTCCGTGATGGGTGATCCGCTGTGTCCGAGGGACACAGCGCACTGCCCATCGCCGCGCATGCGTGGTGAGAATGGGAGGACGTCATATGACGTCCTCCCAGAACGAAAGAACCACCTTGCGTCCGTCATAATACTACAGTCAGGTCCATAAATATTGGGACATCAACATAATTCTAACATGTTTTGCTCTATACACCACCACAATGGATTTGAAATGAAACAAACAAGATGTGCTTTAACTGCAGACTGTCAGCTTTAATTTGAGGGTATTTGCATCCAAATCAGGTGAACGGTGTAGGAATTACAACATTTTTCATATGTGCCTCCCACTTGTTAAGGGACCAAAAGTAATGGGACAATTGGCTTCTCAGCTGTTCCATGGCCAGGTGTGTGTTATTCCCTTATTATCCCAATTACAATGAGCAGATAAAAGGTCCAGAGTTCATTTCAAGTGTGCTATTTGCATTTGGCATCTGTTGCTGTCAACTCTCAAGACGAGATCCAAAAAGCTGTCACTATCAGTGAAGCAAGCCATCATTAGGCTGAAAAAACAAAACAAACCCATCAGAGAGATAGCAAAAACATTAGGCGTGGCCAAAACAACTGTTTGGAACATTCTTAAAAAGAAAGAACGCACCGGTGAGCTCAGCAACACCAAAAGACCCGGAAGACCACGGAAAACAACTGTGGTGGATGAGCGAAGAATTCTTTCCCTGGTGAAGAAAACACCCTTCACAACAGTTGGCCAGATCAAGAACACTCTCCAGGAGGTAGGTGTATGTGTGTCAAAGTCAACAATCAAGAGAAGACTTCACCAGAGTGAATACAGAGGGTTCACCACAAGATGGAAACCATTGGTGAGCCTCAAAAACAGGAAGGCCAGATTAGAGTTTGCCAAACGACCTCTAAAAAAGCCTTCACAGTTCTGGAACAACATCCTATGGACAGATGAGACCAAGATCAACTTGTACCAGAGTGATGGGAAGAGAGAGTATGGAGAAGGAAAGGAACTGCTCATGATCCTAAGCATACCACCTCATCAGTGAAGCATGGTGGTGGTAGTGTCATGGCGTGGGCATGTATGGCTGCCAACGGAACTGGTTCTCTTGTATTTATTGATGATGTGACTGCTGCAAAAGCAGCAGGATGAATTCTGAAGTGTTTCGGGCAATATTATCTGCTCATATTCAGCCAAATGCTTCACAACTCATTGGACGCCGCTTCACAGTGCAGATGGACAATGACCCAAAGCAGACTGCAAAAGCAACCAAAGAGTTTTTTAAGAGAAATAAGTGGAATGTTATGCAATGGCCAAGTCAATCACCTGACCTGAATCCGATTGAGCATGCATTTCACTTGCTGAAGACAAAACTAAAGGGAAAATGCCCCAAGAACAAGCAGGAACTGAAGACAGTTGCAGGAGAGGCCTGGCAGAGCATCACCAGGGATGAAACCCAGCGTCTGGTGATGTCTATGCGTTCCAGACTTCAGGCTGTAATTGACTGCAAAGGATTTGCAACCAAGTATTAAAAAGTGAAAGTTTGATTTATGATTATTATTCTGTCCCATTACTTTTGGTCCCTTAACAAGTGGGAGGCACATATGCAAACTGTTGTAATTCCTACACTGTTCACCTGATTTGGATGTAAATACCCTCAAATTAAGGCTGACAGTCTGCAGTTAAAGCACATCTTGTTTGTTTCATTTCAAATCCATTGTGGTGGTGTATAGAGCCAAAAATGTTAGAGTTGTGTCCATGTCCCAATATTTATGGACCTGACTGTATATGGCAGGCGGGAGGTGGTTAAAAACACCAAGGGTTGGACGTCACATTAGGCATGTAGACTGTTCATTGCAGGTATGTGTGTGGATAGAACACGGAATCATGGAACAGGGTCTCTGGAAGTAGCCCAAACAGAGAGAATAGGAAACAAACTATCTCTGTTGTCTGACAATGCTAGTTTCCTGGCTGTTATGCAAAACCAATATTTATATGAGAGAGTGTACATATTTTGTTCTTCAGGCACTGACCTAGCATGCAAATCCTGACCTCTAAGGGCTCATGTACACTGCAGGTGATAAACTCACGTTTAGGAGCTGTTCAGCGTTTATTTCAGCAGCCCCTGAACTCACCCTAATGTTTTCCTATGTGTCCGTGTACACATCTTCATTTACAGGCATTTGAGTTTACAGTTGGTTTTTTTGAACGCAGAAAACTTGCATTCAGCAGTCGATTTTATCAGCATTTCAAACGCAAACCGCTTGTAAATGCGGCAAATTGCGTTTATAACCGCTTGCTTCTGAAATTTTTTTTTTACCCCTTACAGTTCCCAATGCTGTCCAGAGCCTTTTTTCATCATGAAAAATGCACGCAAAGCATTTTCAATCTACTCTGAACACAGGATGTTCCTACCAAGCTTGTCACACATTGTAATGACCAATGCACACCTCATACCTCTCCCACCCTTGGAAACAAAAGATATGTTAATGAGCAACTTACACCTAAACTAATCTCTACACATACTTCTGTCTCTGCTTCTACTCTCTGTATTTCTCTGAAACAGTCTGAAATAGTTAATAATTTACCACTTTTCAGTGCATTCTGGGCATTTGCGAGGGTCTCCTGTGTTTATCTTTAAAAAAATGTAAACGTACATAAACGCATTATGCACACATGGCTAAACAGCCGTTTTTTAACCTACGTTTTCCAGCAGTTTCCATCGTTCAGAAGTGTCCCGTGTACATGGGGCCTTACTCCCTAACCTCAATACTTGCAGAGTTTTGCAACCAGAGGCAGCAGAATGAAGGAAACAGTCCAGGCTTCCTCGCCATGTCCTAGTAGCGGACACTTTCCAGTCAGGGGATTACAGGGCGCAGCAGCACACTTCCATTCAACGCTTTAGATTTGCTCTCCCACCAGCCGCAGAGCTGACCAGGGAGCCCAGTGCGCATGCGCTGACTCCTCCTCGCTGTCTGGACGGTGGCTTGGCTCCTGGAGTTGAGGAGGTGACGTCAGGTGTGAGCGTGGCTGCAGAGGCCGGGGAAGCTGTGCTCTCCCAACATGTCCTTGCACAAGTGTCAGGAGGAATGGGAGGAACTGGAGAAGGAATTCAAGCAGCTGCAGGTAGGCAAGAGCCGGGGTCGGAGCTGTGCTGCGAGTTGTGCTAGTTCCCCCAGGAATGCACGTCTGCTGTACGAGCTGAGCACTTCTCAGTGGTGGTCCGTGCTGAATAATGGAAGGGGAGCCCGGGGATGGAGCTCCATTGTCTTCTATGTGGCAGCTGTGTGTATGAGGCTGAGGCATCTCATTCTGTTATCATTGCTTTCATCTATCCCTTGTGTGTTGTGCTGCATACCACATTCTGTGCCCTGAGCGGGGGCTGCTTGTGGAGCATCCTGGGTGTACAGTCCACAGAGCAGGAGATCCTGGACATAGTCTGCTGAGCCATGTGGACTGTCCTCCTACACTGCCGGCTGCCCCCCCCTACACCGCCAGTCCACTGGCTGCCCCCCACACCAGCTGTCCCCCCTAAAATGTTAGACCGCCGGCTGTCCCCCTACACCGCCAGTCCACTGGCTGCCCCCCTACACCAGCTGTCCCCCCTAAAATGTTAAACTGTCGGCTGTCCCCTTATTCTGCCAGTCCACCGGCTGTCCCCTACACTGCCAGTCCACCGGCTGTCCCCCCTAAAATGTTAAACTGTCGGCTGTCGCCTTACTCTGCCAGACCGCCGGCTGTCCCCCTACACCACCAGTCCACCAGCTGCCCCCCTACACCAGCTGTCCCCCCTAAAATGTTAGAACGGCTGTCCCCTTACTCCGCCAGTCCACCGGCTGTCCCCCTACGCCGCCGGCTGTCCCCCTACACCACCAGACCGCCGGCTGCCCCCCTACACCGCCAGCTGTTCCCCCTACAATGATAGACTGCCAGCTGCACCCTTTATACCGCCTGACCGTCGGCTATCCCAAACAGAGGACAGTCCATGGTCTACCACTACTACTGGCTGTCCCCCTACGCCGCCAGACTGCTGGCTACCACTATGCCACTGGCTGCCCCCCTACACCACCAGTTGCCCCCCTACAATGATAGACTGCTTCTGTCACCACCTGACGCCGCCAAACCACCGGCTGCCCCCCTACACCGCCAGCTGTTCCCCCCTACAAGGATAGACTTCCGGCTGCCCCCTTTATACCACCTGCTATCCCAAACAGAGGACAGTCCATGGTCTACCACTGTAGACCATAGGGTCTCCAAACGTTCAAAACAAAGGGCCAGTTTACTGCCCTTCAAATTTTAGGGTGTCAGTCTGTGGCCAGTGGTAGTAGAAAATGCCCTGCTGTCAGTGAAAGTAAACAATGCCATAAGCTTGGTGGTCAGTGGGAGTAGAGGAAATACATAATTAGTGTCCTTCGGAGGAACAGTACCCCACCATTGGCATCAGTGGGAGAATTAGTTCCCCTACAGTGGTGACAGTGGGAGGAATAATGCCCTATCGTTGGTGACAGTGGGAGGAATAGTGCCCCATCGTTGGTGACAGTGGGAGGAATAGTGCCCCATCATTGGTGACAGTGGGAGGAATAGTGCCCCATCGTTGGTGACAGTGGGAGGAATAGTGCCCCATCGTTGGTGATAGTGGGAGGAATAGTGCCCCATCGTTGGTGACAGTGGGAGGAATAGTGCCCCATCGTTGGTGACAGTGGGAGGAATAATGCCCCATCGTTGGGGTCCGAGGGAGGAATATCCAGCCTGTGAATCGCAGCTTGATTATCCCTGCTCCACAGTGATAGACCGTGGGCTGTCCAACCCCCCCCCCCCCAGTGACAGACCACGGTCTATCACTGTAGAGCACAGGTTTCAAAAACTTTTGAAACAAGGGACAGTTGATTTCCCTTCAAACTTTAGGGTGTCAGACTGTGGCCAGTAGGAGTAGAAAATGCTCTGCATCAGTGAGAGTTAACAATGCCATAGGATTTATGGTCAGTGGGAGTAGAAAAAATACATCATTGGTGTCAGTGGGAGGAATAGTACCCCATTGGTGGTGTCAATGGTAGTAATAGTACTCTGTCTTGTCAATGGAAGGAATAGTGCCCCAAGTGCCGGATAAAGGCAAGCCAAGAGGCACATCCAGATTGTGGGCCACAGTTTGCTCGGCAGTGATAGACCGCTGGCTGTCCTCCACAGTGATAGACTGTGGACTCTACTTATCAGCCTTATCACTGACTGACCTGTACAATGATATAATCTACTGTACCATGGAGTCTGCTCTACGGTTTAACCACTGACTATCCTGTAGACATGTGCAATTAATTTCATTACTAACTGAAATTTAGACAAAATGTTCGGTATTTTGATACATCTGAATAACAACCATAATTAATTTTGAATACAAAAAAAAATTCTAATGAAACGACAAAGTTCATTTGTTTCATTCAGATGTTTGAAACATCCAAAATAATGATTGATCCGAATTGATTTGAATTGAAAATCTGGTTGTTAAGGAGCAGATGGCTGGCTGGTCAGCTGCCATGTCCTTAGCAACCATGACTCATCTGCTGTCAGTGGGATTTCCTGCAGATAGAATGAAAACAAAAGAGCCGGAATTAGGAAAAATAAAAACTGTGTGCCCCCCCCCCCCCCCTAAATCCATACCATGTCTGGCGTGGGCTTCCCCCCCAAAATCCATACCAGACCTCTATCTGAGCATGCAGGCCAGGAAAGGGGGGGGGGGGGACATGCAAGTGCCTCCCCTTCATTTCTGAACCATATGCCCGAAACAAGCATTCAGCCCGGCAGGCCAGGAAAGATGAGTGAGTGCCCCCACACCCTCCTGAACAGTACTAGGCCTCATGCCCTCAACAAGCATGTAGCCCGGCAGGCCAGGAAGGGGGGGGGGGGGGCGCAAGACCTAAGAGCCTGATACGGATTTTGGGGTGGGTCCACACATTTTTTTTTTTTTTTTTTTTTTTTTTTTTTTTTTTTGGCATGGGGTTCCCCTTAAAATTCATACCAATCTTGAAGGGCCTGGTGTAGATCAGTGGGGGACTCCAAAGCCTTTTTATATATATATATATATATATATATATATATATATATATATATACAGTGAGGAACAGAAGTATTTGAACACCCTGCGATTTTGCAAGTTCTTCTACTTAGAAATCATGGAGGGGTCTGAAATTCCCATTGTAGGTGCATTCCCACTCTGAGAGACAGAATTTAAAAAAAAATTCAGGAAATCACATTGTGTGATTTTTAAAGAATTTATTTGTCTTGCACTGCTGAACATAAGTATTTGAACACCTGAGAAAATCAGTGTTAATATTTGGTACAGAAGCCTTTGTTTGCAATTACAGAGGTCAAACGTTTCCTGACCAGGTTTGCACACACTGCAACAGGGATTTTCAGCCCACTCCTCCACACAGATCTCCTCTAGATCTGTCAGGTTTCAGGGCTGTCGCTGAGCAACATGGAGATTCAGCTCCCTCCAAAGATGTTCTATTGGATTTAGGTCTGGAGACTGGCTAGGCCACTCCAGAACTTTGATATGTTTCTTACGGAGCCACTCCTTGGTTATCCTGGCTGTGTGCTTCGGGTCGTTGTCATGTTGGAAGACCCAGCCACGACCCATCTTCAATGCTCTGACTGAGGGAAGGAGTTTGTTGCTCAAAATCTCACAATAAATGGCCCCATTCATCCTTTCCTTAATGCAGTGCAGTTGTCCTGTCCCTTTTGCAGAAAAGCACCCCCAAAGCATGATGTTACCACCCCCATGCTTCACAGTAGGGATGGTGTTCTTGGGATGCAGCTCATCCTTCTTTTTCCTCCAAACACGGCAAGTGAAGTTTAGACCAAAAAGTTCTACTTTGGTCTCATCTGACCACATGACTTTCTCCCATGCCTCCTCTGGATCATCCAGATGGTCATTGGCAAACTTCAGATGGGCCTGGACATGTGATGACTTGAGCAGGGGAACCTTCCGTGCAATGCATGATTTGAAACCATGACGGCGTAGTGTTCTACTGACAGTGACCTTTGAAACTGTGGTCCCAGCTCTCTTCATGTCATTGACCAGCTCCTCCCTTGTAGTTCTGGGATGATTCCTCACCTTTCTTATCAGAGATACCCCACGAGGTGAGATCTTGCATGGAGCCCCAGTCCGAGGGAGACTGACAGTCGTCTTTAGCCTCTTCCATTTTCTAACAATTGCTCCAACAGTTGATCTATTTTCACCAAGCTGCTTAGCAATTGCCCCGCAGCCCTTTCCAGCCTTGTGGAGGTCCACAATTTTGTCTTTTGACAGCTTTTTGGTCTTGCCCATTGTAGTAGTTGGCGTCTGACTGACTGTGGGGTGGACAGGTGTCTTTAAAGAGCTCAGACAGGTGCTACTAAGTTAGATTAATGAGTGGAGTAGAGGTGGACTTTTTAAAGGCACAGTAACAGGTCTTTGAGAACCAGAATTCTTGTTGTTTCTTAGGTGTTCAAATACTTATGTTCAGCAGTGCAAGACAAATAAATTCTTTAAAAATCATACAATGTGATCTCCTGAATTTTTTTTTTTAATTCTGTCAGAGTGGGAATGCACCTACAATGTGAATTTCAGACCCCTCCATGATTTCTAAGTGGGAGAACCTGCAAAATCGCAGGGTGTTCAAATACTTCTGTTCCTCACTGTATAATGCCTCTTTTGTTTTCATTCTGGTATCATGATTAGCTAAAGTTGCAAGCAAGTCCCCAAAATCACATAACAAATTATTCTGAAATAACTTCTGAAAAATACTAATCAATTTGGAAATCACTAATATACAAAACTTCTGAAAATGAATCATTTTAATGTAACTAACATGACAAAACGTAAAGATTTACTCCACAAATGAATCCTAAACAGATTTTTTTTTTCATTGTGCACTTCTCTACTGTCCTGTGTAATGATAAAAATATACTACGGAATCTTCCCTACAGTCGTATCACTGACTGACTTGACTATAATGTTTATATCCTGAACTCTCCCTAACAGTCTTATCACTGACTATCCCCTACAATGTTAGAATAATCAGTGGAATATCCTCCAGTCTTATCACTGACTGTTCTGTTCAATGATATAGTATACCATGGAATCTCCTCCA